TTCCTCTATTTCATCTGAATCTACTCTGAAGCCCGATAAAACATTTTACTTCCATGTCAATAGGCTAAATAGTTGGTTGACCAACTGTGTAGCATTGACTAAAACAGTCTGCAAAACGGTCTGCCACCTCTGGTGGGGACTTAGTGTTTCCTTCCAGTAAAACAATCCCACAGTGAAATTTCATGTGCATTGTTACGAGTGTGCTGCTTTGCAAACTCCCAGAAAATTTCGGGGTGGCGGTTCAGACTGCGCTCAGCATCATCAAGATGTAACTGTTTATCGCGCGAGTACAATTTTTTGACGAGAGAACGATAAATACTAAATTGAGTGTACCGGAAGCTAGAGCCCGTTTTTTTTTTTTAAATTCTATGAAAATGATCTTTTTCCTTAAAGGCGGGCACTCAAAATTTTCTTCAGCGTGGCAGAAGATTCCCCCTCTTTTCTTTTTTTCCTCCTTCCCTTTCCTCCTCCATTTTCCTCCTCGCTTTTTACGGCCTTCTCGCATGAGCGCTAATGGGCTTACCGGCCCACCGACAAAATCTCTGTAACCCTTCAAGGTTCTCTGCTTCAATCCCAAACATCAGGGATTAGTTAGGCAGGCTCGGTATGAGCTCGTAAGAGTTCGAGCTGGCTCGCTTTTCTCCTGTTTTTTTTTGTTTTTTTTTTTTACTTTTTACTTCTTTTTTTTTAGCTTTAAAACACACTCAGGCACTTCGGCATGCGGCCACATACGCTACAATACCGCATATTTATCTCGAGTGAACGGAACTTGAACATCATAGTAGAAGGAAAAAAAAGTAGGTATTTTTATTTGAACTTTGAGCTTTACCCAGAGAGTTGAGAATTGGTCGTTCTAACAACGGCACACTGAGGAGTGATTGTATCAATATTTTGTGTTTTTTTTTTGTTCGAAATAATAATTATAAGTAAATACAAGTCAAAAATATTGCAGTAAGAGGGCGAAGCATGTAAAATTAGTTGCATTTTGACAATATAGTATCGAAATGAACACAGTCTGACCAGTTCTGGCGCATAATATATATGTTAATACTACAGGTCTTTTTCTAGAGTAACGGCCGCCTCGTTGAAGGAACTAAGAAGAGTAAAAAACAAACTTCCATAAAAGTAAATTGGTTTACGATTTTTGATGCCTCTTCAGCCTTTGAAAAGAGTTCTTCGTGGCCAAAGTTGCATTTAGTTTCTGTCAACAAATGTAACTGAAAACTCAACAGCCGACAAATATGTTGCGTATCAGCAAAGAGAGCAAGAAAGACGGAGATTGAATCGGCAAATTCAAGATTTTCTACACGAGAAATAGTGCAACTAGCAATAATAGCAAATTATGCCATTTATAAAAAGACAGCAGGTATTACGAAGTTTTCATTTTGTTCTGTTCCCGTTTGTTTTCAGTCCAATGAGAAATGGAATACCCAGATTGCCTCTGCAGCCCTTCCATAATTGTCCGGGGCTCTGTCAGAGTGCACGGTTGAAGCACAGCGACCATCACCACAAAAAATCCAGGAGTCCGGAAGGTGTACTACCGTAGGGTTTGGGGCTGCTTGGCAAATTTAGGCGCCTGGCAGTCGCCCAGCCTCCATAGAACAAAAGAGGCACAGCGGCCAGCTCAACGTCATCACCAAGCGAGAAATCATGCCGAAATGTGTCCTTCAACACTTGTGAGATCTATACCCGAGCCCAGCCGGGATTTGCTACATGGGACACAAGTGGTAATAGGGCACACTGATTGGTCAGTGTACATGTAGATTTTGCTGTGTAACTCGAAATAAAACAGAGCAAGGTTTTCAACATCACCAAGCCCAGGTATGACAGAACTGCTGCTTGTACACCCATTGTGGGTTTTTGCATGTCGTAAGGCGGTTCTCTAAAATCTCGTAGAAAGTGAATAGTCGTATTCTTATATCCCTGTTTTGACATGGTGGCGAATGTTGTGCGAAGTTGCCGATTTGAAGTACTCCGCTCAGGATTGCACGTACAGGTCCTTCATCACAGAGATGGTATCATGAATGAGCATTTTGAGGCTGACAAATCGTTATAATTAATTCCTAATTAGTTTATGAAACTAGAAAAAGAGGGGCGCTTGGGAGATTTGGCAATTCTTGAATAATAGCCCCGAGAAGTTCGCGTGGCGCCCTTTTACGGCAAACCGGGGTGACGTCACGGCGAGGAGAGAATTTTTCCCCGGCTCGCCCCGCCCGCCTTGTGAAGGCTGTGACGACGCCAGCTGTCGGCGCGCTCGTTTCTATTTAATTTTTTTTGGCGTAATTTTTGTCGGAAGTGTAAATTTTTCTTATGTGCCTTTATTGAGGTATGGCCTGTAGCTACAGGCGAAACTTCAACCAACATTTTAAGCATGGTTGACAGGAAAGAAATATGGCCACAATCGCAGGAGCATCACTATAGATTTACATCTGGCACAATAAATGCTGCTGATGGTCTGAGTGAATTGGCAGGTTATGTATACTATTTTTTGTTTTGTATCTTCGTTTTTAAACAAGATCGCCGAAGCAGAAAAGCTGAATGCTGCTTGGGCAACATGCTAAATACAGTCTGGGCCATGGGGAGAGAATCACAAGTAAGACAGCCCAAGTGCAGGGGCAAAGTAAAAAAAAAACAAAAAAACAAGGAACATATTTATTATATACATTGTTCGCATTTGACCTTTGCTGGATTCGGATAGTATTTTAATGGACTACACGGGTGGTATCTGTGGACTTGTTTATATCAACCCTCAAGTAACGTATAACAAACGTAAGCGAAGGTGTCTAGCTCGTTATTAGTCCCTTAAGCCCGAAAATTGAGATTTTACTTGAATCGAATTGTCCTGAAGCTAAAATACCAGAAGCTTTTCTCACGCAGACTGTCGCTCTTCCCAGGTTCCACATTTTCTGCTACTAGTGCTGCATCTACCACTGGACAGACGTTCAAATGTTTGTTTTTACTCCTGTTTTCCTTTGTTGTCAGAGAGTCTAGCTGTAGGGAGTTTGGAGGCTGAGGAGGCTCTTGGGGACCTGCAGCAGTGTCTCTTTTAATTGTAAATGACAATTCAGACTAAACGGTGTATTTTCCGAATACCCAAGGCTGGAATAAAAAATGTCAGGAAAAAGTATAAACATTCCAAATCACGGCACTATTGCCGTGCATATTTGGCAATTCAATACACATCATACAGGCAACTGGGGGCGATTCGGCCGTTTTTGCTGCTACCATACAAACTAATTTCCAGTAATTGTGCATCTTTTAAGAAATATGCCTGCATACGTGTATAAACTATATAATTAATTTACGAATAAGCTACATTTATGTAAAACAACCCTGTTCCATGAGCACTTCAAAGATAATCAGACACATGGCCTTTAAAACATCTGCGAACCAGCGCATGCAGAGTGGCAGCGCAGAGTCAGGGTCGCGAGCTAATTTGCCGACCACCCAAAGGACCATGATATAAATGCCACTTCAAATGCCTTGAAAGCAAGATGTAATATCGTCCTAAATCATGGACATGCAAGGGACAGAATTCCAGCGTCTGAAACACTTGCGCCACCGCTTCACCGATCCCTCGCAAAGTTGCCTTGTGTCGTGGGGACGGACGGGGAGGTTCATCGGCAAGATTGCCTCCGCCGATAGCTTTCGGGATTTGTAACCCAATTTTAAAGGTAAAGGGGACAAACAGGCTTATAAGATGTACGGAAGCACGTCAATATCGGCCTAACTCAACGTCTTGTACACCGGGTAAACGAAGTCCAGCTACTCGAAGAGCTTGCAGCACACAACGCGAAACCGGTGCTGGGAAGCAAGCCGATGCGGGATCGCGGAGCGGAGTCATCGCCCTGACGTCACGGTACGCCTCACCCAATCAGGGCGCGGCGACCGCATGCAGCGACGCTTGTGCTCGCTCTCGGGGTTAATAGTCGTGCGGGGCAAACTGCCCTGTACTGCCTACAAGCACAGAATGAAAAGAATGCACTGCTATGTTGTGTTTTTTATGCCTGTATTTGTCTTTCGCACTGTACGCCGATTAAAATGGAAACTGCAATATCTAGATTACGTATGATTATCTTGACTATGAAAGATATGTAATCAAGCAAGTTCGTCATCGTGCCACAATTTGTGCAAATGCCATTTTATGTGAAATTCAATGTCAATACAGTACTTACGCTGGAAATAATGAATCAGTCGTTCTTCGCCATCCAAAAGCTGTGAACTACCGATCTTGGCTACGAGACCATAGGTCCACAAAAAATCACGCTGAGTTGAAAATTTGCCTTTTTTACCACAAGTACGGGAAAGCATTTATTTTTCAAACAGGTCGGGTGGTGATGCGTGGTTGAGCACTTGACGTCGCAGTACCGTTGATTGGGCACTCGTTGGCGCCAGGAGTGCATGCAGTGATCCAGTTGTGCTCCCTGCGACGAGTGTTGAAATTTGAATATGGTACAAATAGCATGGATTAACAGTCTTAGAATTATTTTAAACTTGAACTTTATTTAGAGATTTAGATTTTGATCGTACCTTTTATTCATCGTCGTCTTCCATGAGAGAACCATTTGCCGAGGCGGCCGTGTTGTCCTTGGACGCGGCTTGGCAGATTAGGTCACAAATGTTTTTCACGAATCTTTAAAAAACAAACATGAAATAAAAAGCAATCATTTCATAAGAAGGTGAAAATAATCTGGGAATTTACCTGTAACTTTTTTTGCAGTAGTTTTTCTTCCCACCCTGCCTGTCCGGGTGCCGGCAATCCTCCACGCGGTATGCCGACGTGCTCGTTCGTCCGACGTGCTCGTTCCAGTCGAGCACAGTGAAGGCCCGTTCACACTCTTGCGACCGAGTTCGACCGAGAGAGACCAAACCGGTTTTTAAGCCTTTTGCGACTTCTTAGGACCGGCTACGATGCAGCGGAGCTGGTCCTAAGAAGTCGCAAGAGGCTTAAAAACCGGTCTGGTCTCTCTCGGTCGTACTCGGTTGCAAGAGTGTGAACGGGCCTTGAGGCTCTGTCTTAGATTATATGTCTCGTTCTGGTAGTGGGCGCGTTTGTCCAGGTACATGAGTACCGTGTTATTGAAGGATTCGACGGAGAAAGTGTCCTTCGACCTCACAAAATTGTGTGCGTGCTTGTACACTGTCGTTGACTTGATAAAAATTGTCAAGAGATCGAGAGCTACGGGATCTTTAACGAGCAGCGTACTCGGAACGTGCCCAACCTCCTTGCATTGTGATTCCGAAGCACAACACCGATGGCCACCGGAAAAATGATTGACGCAGTTTAGCAGTGTTGCCTCTAGGGTGTCAGCATCACTGCCACAGGTGGCCATCGCGAAGTAGACATGGTTGCGTACTGGCTGGCATTTGTCCGAGAGTTGCTGATGCCACGTTTTGCCTTCATTTTTTTTTTTTTTTGGTCTTGAGGCTATGGTCATCATACCCTTTTTTATACTTTTTGCTGCGTGCCAGCGGTCGTTCGTGTTCGTCGTATTTCCATTCCTCTCTCGGATGATCTTGTTGACGGAGGTGTTCCTGTCAGGGGCGTGGTCTTTCAATTCGATTCCTTTTGAATCAAAATACTCGTACAACTTCTTCGTACCCACGACTTCATGCTTCTGCGACGAAACATCATTCTTGGTGATATGTACAATTCCTACGATCTTGTGTGTCTCCTGGCCTAGGGGAATGACATCTGTATGGTACGAGTTTTTACGGCAGGCATGCCGTGCGTCCGTCTCAATGTTCATCATGGGAGAGGCTCATGGGGGCTCGCTTGCTCGGCACTCTTCTTGCTGGGCGGCAGTCAATGATTCTATCCGCAAGAGGCCCACTGCCGCTTTGACCTTGATTGTAGCCCTTTCCAGGGCCCTCGGAGAGTAGGGCAGCGAGCTAAACTCGCAAGACTTCCGGAACTGCACCGGCAGCATACCGCTGCATACAAATGCGAGTGCGAGATGACAATCGACAGTGCCTGAGTCCCCACTTATGGAGCTAGAGCAAACAGTCAAAGAATGTTCCTTACGCCTCCAGTGGAGGCGGGAGCCGAATCTGCAGGTCACTTTTTCCAGCAAAAGCGTCTCTGGGCAATTTTCCCTGTGGTCTTGCAGAGTCTCAAGCATCTTGAAGAGCACTGACGTGTCACAAACAATCAAAGCCGTCTTAAGGGGTGTCCAAACAGGACACTACAAAACCCGCGACTCCGACAAATCGTGAAAATTGAAGCGGACGCTTCTATTTTTACGGTCTGTCGGAGTCGTGAAAATGTTTGCAGGAGTCGTGAAAATTTTTACGATCACGACTGCTCTCCTCTTCAGATTGACGTCACACGCCACCTGCGTCTGTCTCACCTCGCCAACGCCCTCGCGTACCGCCGTCGCCTCGGCTCGAAGGCCAAGGAGGTCCGGCTTTGGGTGGATTTGGGACATTCCTGCGTCGAAGGGTGCGTTTCGCCCGCCTCGGATCTGCTTTCTTTGTCGAGATTCACTTTCGTCGTGATGGCGTCCGATGCGGTTCCGTATTGTGAGCGGAGGCCTTGAGCAATTGACCGACAGCCAACAGAGCGTGTGAGTGGCTCTCCGGACCCACGTGATAAGCAGAGCAAGGCCGTCGTGGAGGAAGCGAGGGGGAGATTTGACGGAGGGAAGTTTCCCCCCGGGAAGAATTGACGGAGGGAAATTTCCCTCCGACGGCCGGAAGCGGATCGCGGCAGAGCGCGGCACGATTTGCTGGAGTCGCGGGTTTTGTAGTGTCCTGTTTGGACACCCCTTTACATGACAACGCAAGCGCGTCACTTACTCGTGCAGGAGTGGTGTGAGGACCATGCGGTGTTTTAGACAGGGACTGTAAGGCTCTCGTCATTATTGCACTAAGCGGATCACCCTTATATACAGCTTTCGCACCTTTCAAGAGCGTGTCAAACGTCGTGATGTCATCTTCTGACGAAAAAGTCAAGCTGATGGTGCGGCGCAACGCGCTCCGCTGGCACGTGTATTCTTTTACGCTACCGTCTTTTATCCTCTTTCTCGAAACGAATGTAGAAGGTTCAGGGACCTCCATGCTTGTCGGTCTAGTCGATGTGGTCGCTAAAATAGTAAAGAGAAAACAAATATAGCACTGTGTTGACCAAAAGTTAAAAAAAACATCTAGAAATTAAACGAAAAATTGTACGCACCGCTATTTAGGAGAAATCCTTGGACCGGGTATTGCTGCCTTGGATGTTTTCTCGAAAGTAAAAATTATTCATCAAACAGCTGGCGAAATGAGGTTGTTACAGAACTCGCTGTAACCAGCAAGTGCCAGCCAGCAGAAAGAGCTTGTCACCGTGTCTGTTCGTGTGTTTCAAACCGGGATGTACTTATTTGAAGTAAGGCAAATGCAGAATGGGTTTTCGTAAAATAAATCGTAAAAAAAAAAAAAAAAAAAAAACGCTGTGCGAAGAAAAAGGGAAAGTGGGGGTGGGGGTATTCCCGGGGGTCTCTTGATTGCAAGGGTGAAACTAATCCTTTCTAATGCTTTAAAATCCTCTTCCGGCCTATGCCAAGCTTTGAGAGCATTTTTCATGTGGTCAGGCCGTACATGGGCTCGACAGTGTGGCGCAACACGCCCCATACTCTTTTTTAGGTTGCTGTTTTCTACTTTTTCTCAAAAGTGGCAGGGACTCTTTGAGGCCCGCCAAGGCACTTTTAGTGCCCCGCAAAACGTACCTCATCAGTCAAGCCAGGCTATAAAATTTTAATCTTTTGAATTATAGAAAGCACGCACCCAACTTCTGGCTGATATCTTTCACCATACGTAACTGAGGAAGGTCTACTTCACTCTAACTCTCAGTATTACAAATTTATTTTGACGAGATCATAATAACCCAATACGTTTCCCCCTCTCATCACCTGGGATGGGATCTGGACATTTCGGCGAGAGCTGCCGTGTTTTGGTGTGACGGTTCGGTGTAGGTGCGGTCTTTGCGGTGCGCGGAATGTTCGATGCGCGGACTTTTCGGTGTGCAGACTTTTTGCTGTACGAACGTTTCACGCACAAACTTTTCAGCGTAAATATGAGTTTCAATCTTTCTTTCTTTTTCGTTACAAGAAACTCGACGTAAAATAGTATAGAGACAAACGGGCAGCACTTAGACAGAAAGACCAGTAGTCCGAAATGTGTCGGCTTCTGATGCAGGACACACTTATACATTTTATATCGTCATAGGCTTGCCGTGTATTATTCCATCGCTCAACAGTGTACCGTGATTTTTCCCAAAATAAATAATCACTGAAAACATAGCTACGTTTTCCTTCTCGAATCACCCATAAGTAAATCTACGTAAATATGGGGTGTCCGAAATAACGCACCCTAATTTTTTTTTCTCTTAAAAATTGTACACCTACGCGAATTAAACAGACTTTATGTCGTTAGCAAACGTCTCGCGAGAGCTGCCGTGCTTTTAAATAACCCTAAGCAAATAAATGTTTAAGATTAATTACCTAACTTTTTGAATGTTGTATAAAGAGACGAAATGTCAATGGGAAAGCTCTAGAGCTCCTTGAGAAACACCCAAATCAGCTGTTTGCAACGTAATATAACTGGCGTGTTTTTTTGTTTTTTTTTGTTTTTTGTTTTGATAACCAGTAATGAACTTAGTGAAACAGGACAAAATACCCTGTGACAATGCGCCCGGCCCACCATACACTCATTTTCGAATGTCCCAAGCTTTCTACGTACGAAAATAGCCACTGCTATTTTCGTACGAGAACATTTGATTTCAAATAAAATAAATTTTGCATTCAACCTATTCGGCTTGCTTACTTGATTCAAAACAATATTTGATTCAATTATAATTATTCTGTGCCCGCACACGCCTACTTTATTATTTTATGAGCTTCAAGTGATACATTGTTTTTCGTCGTGTGAGGTTATTAACAATTTATTATTAACCAATCGTTAACAATCGATGCTATACGATTTCCCGGTGGAGGCACATTTGAAGATATTCAAAATTTTTCTGATCTATCGTACAAAACAACTTCTCAAGCTTCTTGCTGGTTGGGGCTTTTCCTACACGCAGTACCAGTAATAAAGCCAAAGCCTTATAGAGTATACCGCCTGTATCGACTCAACGCGTAAACACGATGTGGAGCGTGTATAGTGCGTACGTTGGAAAAGAGATACTTGCGAGCGAACCATCGCGTCTAACGTCTTCGAGCCTCGCACAGGATAATGCTGCGCCTAACAAAGTCACTTAGGTCCCCAAAGTAGAATGGTTCAGAACCACTGGTCTATGGAACGCGATTCGTGAGATACCGAAAAACACCGCTCGAATTCCCGCTATTGCCATGAATTCACATAAACAACGATCGATGCCAAATCAGAGATTTAGAACAAAATTGATCCTTCAATGACTACTTCTTTGAATAAAACAACAGTTATTGGTGTTTTCACAACAGCAGAAATCGTTCTCCAAACCCACGCTAAAAACAGCCATCGAACTCGTTGGGGAGAGCAAGTGCCGAGCTCGCTCAAAACAGCCTCGGCTGGTTCAGCTCCCTGTCGCAGCGGTGCTGGCTTGCTTCTGGATAATCCTTTCAAATACTTCAAACGTTGATTGCACCCAACTCAATCTTCCACTCTTCCACAAAGGGGATCAGGCAGGCGGCGCTCTAATTCGGCAGACGCAGAGCCGTTTATCGAGAGAGTTTGGCCATACATTGGTTTGAATAGGCGAGCATCTCGGGGCCAACCACAGGCCGCGAAACAGCCCCTAGCGGTGGTCGTGTGCTCTACGTTTGTGACACGACTAATTTGAGCCGTTTTAGCGTCGCTAGAGTGAAAAGGTTTAGCTCTTGGTGACTGAAAACTTTGTGCATGTGAGGTTTTATTCACTCCAATATTCAAGTGTAGAATAAACGAACGTGCGTTCCAAACCAGTGCCGACTTGCTAGAAACAGCGTCTCAGCGGAGACGGGGAAAGAAAGCACTGACAAAGCCAGCGCACGAGCCGAGCGGGACTCCGCGTCTCAAGACGCTCGCGCGCCCCACCACTGTTTTTTTTTTTTTTTAGCCAGCCTTAGCTTAGACGCTGTTCTAGCAAGCCGGCCCAGAGCGAACTGTCACCTATATTTCATCTGCACAAACATCAACAATGCAGACAAAGGCATGGGCACGAGCGCGTGGCTTTGGAAAGTGCCTCCTATGCACGAGTTCTAGTACAAACAAAAGCGTTTTGTTGAGCTAGGCTCGCGCGCCTGTGCCTTTGTCTTTACTGCAGACATTTGTGAGATGGAGTAGAGAGGCCGAGATTGAACGCTTCTATTGCACGCTTTAAATGCCGTTTGCAATATTGTGACGTCGCGGTCTCCTGATTGGTCGACGCTGTGTCACAAATTTAGTTTACGCTCTAAGCGCGGGGGGAATATTCGGCGCTGGCGGCGGCCTTTGCTCCGCCTATTGGCCAAACTCTCCCAATACACGGCTCTGGGCAGACGCCGATTAGAGCGCAGCTCTTGAGGAATGAGTGGAAGGGCACTGGAGGGAGAGGAGGAGAGAAGGGTACTGGAGGTTGAGGAGGAGAGATGGGTATTGAGGGGAGGGTATACCCCTCCTCCTTCTCATCCTCCTCGCCTTATTCTTGAATATGCTCCGGGGGGTCACCTGATCTCGGGGGAGGGGGTCACGTGGCCTCATTGGGAGGGGAGTGTCACGTGACTTCGGGGGGAGGGGGGTCGCGTGACCCTGGGGAGGGGTCACGTGACCTCGCGGTTACGCCGACGGCGACGCCGCTCAAGCCGGAAACGGGCCCCTAAGAGCTGCGCTCTAAAAGGTATAGTAATTTAGTTTTACTGTACATACACATTTATTTGCTTTATGTTCCTCGATCGTTCTGAGAGGGTGGCAAACTCGGCGT